AATTTAAATTATTAATAAATAAGGATAATATGATAAATTCACATTTTTTATATTAAAAAATTAAAATTAAAAGAAAAATCAGATAATGAATCCTATTTTTATGGAACATAACTACCCATTATCTTTTTTAATTCTAAAATAAATTTAAATTTTTTTTAAGAAAAAACCTCTCGCAAGCACGGAAGCGCGTGCGAATAGGCTAGTACAACTTTATGCATAACAATTTCTCAATGAAATGGAGTATTTTATTATTATCTATATCCATATATACAAAGCAAAAGGCAAAGAATGATAAAACATTTAAAATACCAAAAAATGTCATTGATTAATGCAAACATTAAGAATTGAAATTATTACTTAAATGAGGATAATATGGTAAATTCACACTTTTTCATATTAAAAAATTAAAATTAAAAGAAAAATCAGATAATAAATTCTATTTTTGTAAAACACAACTACCCATTATCTTTTTTAATTCTAAAATAAATTTTAATTTTTTTTTTAAAAAGTCTCTCGCAAGCGCAAAAGCGCGTGTAGAGAGGTTAGTGAATATTTAAAGAGTTTTTCTATTTAAAGCCTCACTTCTCTTTGTTCACTCTATATTCTAAGTTCATCCCAACTTCTAATTCAAAATTTCACAATTTTTAAGAAAACCCAACTATCTTTCCAAACTATCCCTAAATACCCTAAATACACACCCAATAAAAAAAAATAAAAAACTCATCAACCTCACACCCCACACCCCACAAAAACTTAACATGCATATTATTGTTTTTTGTTCTTTCAATATTTGCATTTCAAAATGGTTTTGATTTTGTTTACCTCTGCATATGATCAAATATCTTATCAAAAATTGCATTCATGTGTGGGAATTGGTTGTTGTATCTCTATGCGTTTTGCAGTACCTAGCAGAAATAATCATTTTATTATTCCTGTGAAATCATTCATGTGTGTGTTGAACATTTTCAATTGATTTTCCAGGCATGAAATTGTTAATGTTGTGACCAAAGCTAGGAAGAATGTGGAGAAATTCAAAGTAGGTAATCGTGTAGGAGTTGGGGCCATAGTGGGTTTCTGCATGAAATGTGAGACCTGTGACCAAGACTTAGAGAACTACGGCCCTCGAGCAATACTTACCTATAGCTCACACAATCACGACCAAATAAAAGTCTCTGATCATAGCATCCTCAATAATTCTGGGAGGAGTCCCAAATTAAGAAATAATATCACATTATATATCTCAATTGACGATCCACAAGTAGTGGAGTGTGTGTATAAATGTACTAGGGTTAAATACTAACTATATTTTCTAAAATTTCCTCATCTTTTTATTTCATACCTAATATTCTTCTTTTTACTAAAGTTTCTCTGTAATTTATTAGATTACTTATCCCTTTTGTAGGATTTAAATTTTTACTTATAAGTTTTTTGCGTTTGGAAAGATAAATGATATTATTATTATGGGTTAATAACTTAAATGGTCCCCCAACTATCGCTACATTATCATTTTGGTCCATGAACTAAAATTTTCAATTCAAACGTCCTTCAACTTTTTATACTGTACCAAAATCGTCCTTTTGTCAAAGTCTGTGAATTATTCCGTTAAATCGAGGGACAAAACTGTATTTTTAGGTGAGTATCCTCTTCTAAAACTGACTTGGCCACTGTAGTACTAGTATCACATTCCCTCCCATTTCTATTCATTGTGCATCAATTTCCAATGTCCAAGGGTTGTATATAAAAATATAATTAAATTTAATAATAGTTAAAAATAATTAAAAATTAAAAATATATATAATATAATTAAAAAACCTCCATCATCATCTGCCCAGATTCGTCCCAAATAACCCAAGACCAAAGCCCAATCTCCAAACCCTAAATCCCCTATCTCCCAAACACAATCCCCCCAATCTATTTGAAACCCCCATCTCCAAACCCCAAAAATCAAGCACCTCAACACAAGCTCAACCAAAAACATCAACCTAAACCATAACACACCTAGAAACCCAATCGACAAAACCCACCTACGCTTTTCCACCATTGGCTCTGTTCCTCTTCTCAGAAGCCAAAGTTGGCATCTTTTCTGCATTCCCTCCCATTTCTGTTAGAAGCTCTACCAAAACCTCCTATTTCTGTGTTTTTTCAGTGTTTTAAGTTAATGGGTGTATATGACTCTCAAAAAATCGCACATACCCTTCAAAACTTAGTCACGTGGCTATCGCATGATCAAAAGTGACAGAATCTGTCACGGAAGGACGATTTTGATACAATATAAAAAGTTTAAGGACGTTTGAATTGAAAATTGGGAAATGCACGTACATACTCACAAACCAGAAATCTTAATCAAGAATACTCACTTTGCAAATATTAACCACAAATACTCACTTCCTCATGTGAAAGTACTGAACTGCCCTTCATATAAATAGATATTATATTGACCATGTATCCTTCTCTGAAACCCAATTCCTCCCAACTCTTCCTTCCTCTCTCGCAGTCCTCTGTCGTCCCCATCGCACATCTAGAACGGCGAATCAATTCATAGCATTATAGCACATCTGGAAGAAAGGCATAACGCAAGAAGATCGTTTTCAAAATTTCTAGAGAATGGTAATGACAATCTTCTCTCTTCTCAATCCCTAGTTTTCTTGTTTTTCTTTTTATGTACTTTTATTTCATTATTTTGTCAAAATAAGTAATTTAAGTTTGCACAATTAAGTCGTTAGGGTTCCTAATATTACAACTCATATTCAACTCAAAACTTTTGCATTTGTTGTCTTTAGATTTGTTCCTAACTCTATGATAATTTTTATTTTTATTTCCAACGAGTTACATTAGTAAGCCACCACATGACCCACCCAACTACAGAGATTGATCACCAATTGCAAGTAATTAATTGGGTTTCAGTTCGTATCATGTGGGTTTCTGTTGAGTATTGATATAGTGATTCTTAATATGCTTCCGGATATGTTTTCTGCTGAAATTCCTTATATGAAGTGTATGAATTTTGAATTCGAAATTGTTGCATTTGCCTTATCAAAACCTGATATGGATGCAAATAGGTCTTGTTGCGATTGATTTTATTATTTATCAGAACATGGGAAAGCTGAAAATAGGTATCTTCATGAGATCCTTGACCAAAATTTGAAGTATTGCAAGAGCATTAAGTAGACCTCCCCTGATATATACTGCTTCAGAAAATTTTGGTTGTTCTGTTCACTATTGCCTTCTTTAGGAAGCTTATAAATTACATGTGGAGCTTCTTGAGTCAAACAATTCCACATTACCCCATTATTGTTCACCCTTTGAGGTGTTTTGATGTCTGGTTCTGTGCCTCTTATTTTGTTTGACAATTTCTTTGTCCTTTATGTGTTCCACTTTTTGCGATTTTCTCTTGTTGGTGTTCTAGGTTAGGAAGCTCCTTGCCAATTAGTCTAGGAATTTCGTATGTAATAGGGCATGAATGTCTTGTGAGAAGAATTGTAATTTATGTAGGAAGCTTTGGTAATACAATAACAAATGTTAGAAATTAAATGATTCCAATTACAAATGTGAGAGAGTCACATACTTTAACTTAATGTTTATACTTGCACTTTTCTGAATCTTTAGTTTTGTTGTCATACTTTGGTGAATAAAAAGCAATTGGGAATGTTGCAGAAATGGGGAGTGGGGAACTACACATGCGAGAGAATATCACCTTCATAACACAGCTCATCACTTGGAGGTTCGAGATTGGACAAAAGCTACTGGTTTCTTCACGGTTAGAAGATGGCTTGAGAAATGAAGATGCGCCACCAGTTTTGTTTCACCACATAAACATTGTTGTAATAGGAGTGGAATTGGATATTAGTTGTGCTTTGATGTGATCAGCTATTCCTTATTTATTAGTTGTGGTTTCATGAATTAGTAACCATGAAACTAGAGTGGATAGAGAAACTGCATCTGTATATGTTTAGCTAATAAGTAGCGTCGCAATGTAAACTCAAGTTTATGTATTGCGCTTTCTTATTATGCCTCTATTGTTGTCTTAACTATTTTTTCTCCTTTGTCTTGACAATTACAAAGCTAAAGTTGGACTAAGAGGTTTACGTATTGCCTTCTTAGCACTTTGTTTTTCACCTCTTTTTGCAATTATAGAGTTAAAATTGGACTTAGGTTTATGTATTGCCTTCTTATTTCCCTTTTATTGTGTTCCTATTGCTCCTCTATTGTTGTCTTTGCAATTATAGAGTTGAAAGACTATCAAGTTTAAGTATATTGCCCTTATATTGCTTTCCTATCGTACCTCTATTGTTGTCTTAACTCTTTTTTCACCTCTGTCTTGACAATTATAGAGCTGAAGTTGGACTTCCAGGTTTACGTATTGCCTTCTTATTGCCCTTTTATTGTCTTCCTATTGCTCCTCTATTGTTGTTTTAGCACATTGTTTTTCACCTCTGTCTTTGCAATTACAAAGTTGAAAGACTATTAAGTTTAAGTATTGCCTTCTTATTGCCCTTATATTGCTTTCCTATTGTACCTCTATTGCTGTTTTAACTCTTTTTTCACCTCTGTCTTGACAATTATATAGCTAAAGTTGGACTTCCAGGTTTACGTATTGCCTTCTTATTGCCCTTTTATTGTGTTCCTATCGTGGCTCTATTGTAGTCTTAGCATTTTTTTCTTTTCTTAATGTATGTCTTGGCAAACAAATTGTAGTTAGACTATGAATTCTTTGTATTGCCCCTTTATTCCACTGCCCTTGTATTGCACCACAGTTCAATTTAAATTTCTAGCCACCTGCTTTACGTGTCTACACCAATCATGCACATAAACATCATACATACACATTCAATAAATGTTATAAATAGCTGCATCATGATCTATACAATTGTTACCTATAAGGATACCTATTTCCAAAAACAAAAATAGCGACATGTTAGGAACACAAATTTTACATAAAGTTAGGTAGCAAATATCACCACTTAATGGAATAAGACATACAAACTAAACAATTGTAATATTTAAATGATCTGCTTCTTGTTAGTGACGGGAATAGCTTCTTTGCATGTACTTCGATAATGGCCCTTCACACCGCACCTTGAGCATTTTCTTTCTCGCGAGTCCTCTCCTTTAGAAGGTATTCTTTGCGTCTTACGACGGCCCGTCATAACCTTTGAAATAGGAGGGAGGAGATTTCCATTTTGGACATTTTCGGGAATAACCCATGTCCCTTGAGGTGGTACAGGATAAATGGATTCAGCATATGCAGCTGCCCATGTAGCTCGAGTGTAATACGAAGAGGCAAATAAGTATGGGTTCAATTTCAAGTGCCAACATACCACAATAGCATGCTTGCACGGGAGTTGCTCTAAGTCAAACTTCCTACACGTACAACTATAGTTTTGCAAGTGCACGAGACCGTTCATATCACCATCAAGCACATTATACTCCATATCATTGATTTTAACCACATTCATCCTCGAAGCAGCGTCTAATCTCTTCCTCAACTTCTTTTCACCTAAATCAGGGCACAACATAGATTTACATTTCATTGACAAATCTCGACGTTGACTAAACCAATTCTGAAGCATATTCCTAATTTCCTCGATCAAGTGTACCACCGGAAGCATCCTTGCAAAACGAAGAACTGAATTAATGGACTCTGCAATATTAGTTGTCATGACATTATATCGTCGTCCATCACAATGGGCTCGAGACCACTTATGGAGCCCTGCACGTACTAGATAAGTTTGCACTCGCTCGTTGTTTATCATGGAGAAATAACGATTGAACTCTGCTAGACGGTAAGACTTAGCCGCCCGCACAAAAAACCCCAATATCGGATCCCGCTTCTTCAACTTAAATGAGGCTTTCATATTGCCCTTCAAGTGATAAAAGCAAACACCATGTGCTGCCTCAGGAAAAACTCTTTTCAACCCATTTTCTATGCTAAGATTTCGATCAGATATGACAACAAGATTCGAGCAATCACCAATTGCACAATGTAGTTTTGTGAAAAACCACTCCCAAGCCGCATCCGTCTCTAAATCTCCAATCCCAAAGGCAAGAGGATATATATTACGATTTC